TGTCCGCATCTGCCTTTTTTGTCCCATGAAGGGTTTTGCCATTTGGCCTGGTGTGGGGCCAGTTTCTATCTTCCTCTTGGCCCTTCCAGCAGTCTACAATGCGAGAAACTGTTCTCGAGGGACTGTGCTCCCCCATCCCAACCACCCCCAGTATTATATAACTTGTTTGTTTCAGTTTCTGTCTTCTGCAACCAAGGGGGAAAAGTGAAAAAGAAAAGCTTATTCTCTTTCCTTCCTATCTCGAGGGATCAACAAAAAACCCATTGCCTACTAGAGTTGGTCATTAATGACTGAGCAGAACCTCTGGGATAGATGAAGATGGCAGCCTCAGCCTGAGGAGGGGGGTGGGGCCTGGCTGCAGGCTCAGTCATACAAAAGACATTTGTTCTCCATCAGGTCCCCTCCTAGCTCCACCTTGGGCCCTCCACAAGGTCCTGGTTCCTGGAGGACGAGGAGGTTTTGGTGTTTTGAGGGGGAGGAGGTACCCTCCATGGAGTTGAACTTCCCCAGCTAAAATTCCATTGCTATGAGCTACCTACCTGGCTGAGTTCTGGAAGAGCCTGCTGTCTATGGAGGCTCTTCAGATGGTGGGCCTCTAGCATCCTTACTCCTTGGCCCATTGTCCCTAAAGGTGTCTGGATGGGGTTGACCAGGTTTGCTGACTCACACTGCTCCTGGTGGGTGAGGGACACGTTACTGACAGGTGTTTCCATGGGAAGTTCTGGTCAGGACACAGTGTGAGTGGTTTTGGCCCAGTTCAGCTGAAGTGTCTGCTCCTGGCTTGGTGGCCTTTGCTTGTTTGAGATTTTCTAACAAGTCCTTTCTGACTGCGTCCTCAATTGTGTCCACTAAGCTTCGAGGCTCTGGAAGAGTCTAGTTCCCCAATGTGTGTGCAAAAGATGGGGGAAAGGGGATGACTTTCTTTCTGAGAAGGTTCTTATTGCTTTGGCTTTGTCCTTTCAGCTGGTTGGGAGAGGCAGGAATTTGACCCTTTAGACATGGAAACTCCATTCCTCCTCTTGGGAATTCTTGGAGATCTGTAGCATCAGGGGCCTCATCACACTCACGTGTCTGTGGTCCCTCCTTCCATGAGCAGGACGACCCTGCATACTCATTGTGCACCTTGGGCACATCTGCACTCCAGTGTGTGTTAGACTCCTCATCTGAAAAGTAGGACCCCAGACCCATAAGGCAGGGTAGCTTGGAAGAAATGAGGTAAGGTGAGGGTATGTTTAGAGGGTGCCCAGCACCTTGCATGTGTAGGTGTTAGTGCAGAGGTAGCGACGTTGCCTTGTGGTCCTGATGCTGTCAACATTCTGTCACTGTGCTGTGCGGGCTGTGAGGGGATCATGGAGTGTGACAGATGGAGAAAAGATAAAAGTTGGTGTCTCCATCAATTTGGGCTGCTGAAACAGAATATTGTAGATTGGGTCGCTTATAAGCAACAGAGATTCATTTCTTGAAGTCTGGAGGCCTAAAGTTCAAGATCAAGATGCCTGGTGAGGCCACTTCCTGATTCACAAATGGTGTATTCTCACTGTTTCCTCACATGGTAGAAGCTTCTAGGGAGCTCTCTGGAGTCCCTTTAAAAAAATATCAGCCAAGGATATGCTTATTAATTTTAGAGAGAGAGGAAAGGTGGGGGGAGAGAAACATGAATGTGAAAGGGAAACATCCATCGGTTGCCTCCTTTATGTGCCCCAACCAGGGATTGAACCTGAAACCTAGGTATGTGCCCCAACAGGGGATGGAACCCACAACCTTTTGGTGTATGGGATGACACACTCCAATCAACCTGAGCCACCTGGCTAGGACTGGGGTCCCTTTTATGAGGTCACTAATCCCATTCATGAGGGCTCCACCCTTATAACCTAATTACTCCTCAAAGGCTGTACTGCCTAACACCATCACATTAGGGGTTAGGTTTCAACATATACGTTTTGGGGAGTATACAAACATTCAGTCTGTGGCAATAGGCTTGAGCATTTGGGAGGATGATGGCATTATTAATTGATGGCCACGAGAGGGACAGCTGTGGGGCAGTGGGAGAATGGAACATGTCAAGTCTGAACTGCTTCCGCAACATGAGAGTAGATGGCACCTAGGAACAGAGTGTGAGCACAAGCTGGGTGGGTCTTGCCAGAGTGTTGGGATGAGCAGTTGAGCCTGGGGTAAGCTGGAGGAAGCGCTGGGCTGGTAGTGCTAGAGGACTGGGTCACGCAGCTCATCCCTTCTCAGGGATCCCCTGTTCCTCAGGATCCCAGCAGGGTCCCTCAAGCTCAAGCAGTGAAATCGCTCTGCAGACTACACACTTCTCCCCAAATTGAGCACTGCGATTGTCTTATTGCTGTACTGCTTCCACCTGGTGGCTGTGACCCCCCGGGGACTCCTTCTTGTCTTTGGAAACAGCTACTAGGGTAGGGAGGTTTTAGTAGCTTCTGCTATCATTGTGCCATCTCCAGGGAGCCCACCTGTGTATTATTCACTTTCCTTAACAGCAGTTATTTTTGATCGCCTATCCGCAGGGGAGAGCTCAGTGAGGCCAGGGTGCAGGTTTTATGCCTCATCCCTCCACCCTCCCAGACCCTTTAAAGATGGAGCTTTCTCTGCACTCCCTCCCTTTGGTCTTGGGCATGTTTCAGACTTGGGGTTGATGGCTCTAGAGAAGGAGGAAGGAAGTGGGAGAAGGAGAGAGATGGGGAGGGGGAAGGGCCCAGACAGAAACAATTCATCTGCATGTGGATGGAACTCACATCTTGCTCTTCCCCTGGTGGTTGTCACATGCTTCCTGTGTACCTGCCACTGTCTGGTGCTGGGCTTGCTAGGAGGGGTGCAGGGGACAGCTGAGTCCTGCCCTTGGGGGTTCTAAGTGCCAGCAGGGAGTTAGTGAAACACTGGTGCAGTCATTACCCCATGGATGCCATAAATTATCCTGAGGCCAAATGGGAAGTTCCTGCCTTCTCGGAAAGGGTCTGAGAGCCTCCGCAGGAGCGAGGTTGAGCCAAGATCGAAGGTTTGTGTTATCCGAAGGTTAGTGTCATCGGCTCGGGAAAGGGGTCGAGTGAGGTGGACTGTTCTCTGGGTGCTGGCAAGTGGTGTGTGTAGGTTCTGAAGGTGGAGGAGACAGCCTCTTCAGGGTTGGGAGTCAGAGAGGAGTGGGTAGGAGGGATGAGGTGGGAGACTGGGAGGCTAGAATTTGGGTGAGAGGGACACCTAGGTCAGATTTGTGTTTTGGAAGGATCCTTCTGGCAGGAGAGGATGGGGCCTGGACCAACCTTGGGGCTGTCAGGAGGGCACAGGTTTGGGAAAGATTCAAGGTTGAACTTGTGCTATGTGCTGACCAGTGTTGGCAGCTGGACAGGGAGTCACCTGCTCTCAGGTTTCTGCCATGGGTCTAGGAGTGCATACTGGGTGAGGACCTGTGGGTAGGTGGGCGGGCAGGGGAGGACCAGGCCTCACTTGGCCTGAGAGGCTGCACTGCCTGCTAGAGAGCTGGGAGGGGCAGGGGTGGACATCCCACCTCCAAGGGTCACTGTCCACGTCTGTTCCAGAAAGCCCCCATGCCTCTCTTTGCTCAAGGGCCTCAGTCTTCCAGCCAGCAGTTCTTGGTCCCAGGAATGTCCCCCCTCCCAGGAAAAGGGCTTGGACTAGTCATAGCCACTCAAGGCGGTCTCCCTAATTTGATTCCACCCACTCGCGGACTCTGAGCTCCTCCTCAGAGAGTCCGTACGCACCATACGCACTCTTACGTGCTCTTTCCTTCTCTTTGTTAGCCACATCCTGGTCCGGCCCCTTCTTCCACCTCTCCTCCTCCTCTGGGCTCTGTGCTACTATCTCCCCATTCTGGCGGCATCTCCCAAGGCAGGCATCAGCCCACATTGTTCTCTCGTTTCTCCCATCTGACACCTGCCAGGGGCTTTTTCACTCTCAGAACAAAATCCATATCTCCATGTGACCCCCCTTGCCTCCCAGCTTCCGCCACCTTGCCCTCCTCTTGAGCCAGCACCCCTCCTGGGCGTTTAACCCAACTCCCCCTGGAGTGTCCTGTCCCAGAGCTTTGCGTAACTCCAGTGTTGCCTCTTCGGGGCCTGATCGATCTATCTACCATAGCCCACTGCCCACCACAGCCCCCAGTCCACCCTCTGCCCTATGTTCATGGAACATTCTCTGTGCTAAGGACCTATGCCCCCAAGAATGTGCACTCCCCAAAGGCAGGGCTTCATCATGGAGCCTCTGATTCCATCCAGTGAGTACTTCACGAACAGTCTATGATGGAGTTTGCCAGGGTTGCTGGCCTGACTGAGGCTTCTGAAAGAGTGCTTCATGGCCCGGCCAGGTGAGGGTCACTTTCCTCTCCCTCCCTTTATTTCATGTCAGGATCTGGGTAGAGAAACACATTCCCAGGCATCTTGTCAGTGAATCAGCCCTATTTGAGAGAAGCCACTTCCTGTATGGAAGGCACTTCCTGTATCAGGGGCCCCTCAAACTGCTACCTACAACCACCACTCACCTTCAGATGATCACTTCTATGCAGTAGTAGGGGCCCATGGCTGCTACATCTTTCCTGCTTTCTGGACAGACAGAAATCCAGATTTAGTATACAATTTCTCAATTTTGAAAGGTAGACAATGATCAACTTATTTTAAATTACACCCAAGCTTACATTTGCAGGCTAAACAATACCCATTTGAAAGCTGAATCTAGGTCATGAGTCGTTAATTTGTAACTAATGATTTGAAAGGAGCAGTAGACACTCAAGGAGCCCTTGGTTAGTCAGAGGTTGGGATTTACTCCATATGAGCCATTGCACCCACTTTTGGCAGGTGTGCTTTGTATAGGATCTTAATGCTGCGTGTTGAATACGGAAACAGCTGGCTGCTCTCCCTGTGCAGCTGCCTGCAGTGGGAAGTGGGGGCCACCCTCCAGGTTTCTACTGGAAGATCCCCCTTTTCTTGTGGTAGTCTCTAGCAGCTGTGCAGATGAGCTCTTAACACATGTTAACTCTTGGTCTCCAGTCCCTTCTTCCTCTCCTCCCTGGCCTGACCTGGTCTCTCCAGAGAGGGCTGCTCGGGATGCACAGGACAAATCCTCCCTCGCATTTCTCCTCTGAAAACAGGTTTTGGTGTGCCAGTTTGCCACACAAGAAAATATTGTGATTCCAGAGGAAGTTACCAGCACCTTTGGGGAATCTCAGAGCTTTCCTGTGAGTGCATCAGCTTCCGGAATTGAACATGCTCAGCGTAGAGGAAATCTTGAGGGGTGGACCTTGGGGCTTTTAAGGCCACAAGGGCAGTTACCTAATGAGGCCCTAGATGTTTCCTGACATGACAACTGTGAAATTCCACAGGGCTCAAAGACGGACTGCACCAGGAGTGGGCTGAGCTGGATATCCGGAGAGCTCTCTTCTCAACGGGGTGTTAGGAGTGGAAGCAGTCTGCCAAAGGAAGCAGAAACAGAGACATGATCACTCAGGATCTTCTGTAATTGGAGCTGAGAGTGGGGCATTCTCTCATGGCAGGGTTCAGGGGGTGGCAAGGTGCCCATAGGCTTACAGGCATATAAGGGAGCCCCCCTGAAGACCCATAGGCAGTTTTCATGTGGAAAACTTCCAGGACTAAAGTTGTAACCAAGTGCTTGCCTTAGTGGTTGTCTCTTGCTCTCTCTGCCTTTTCCATCTCCCTCCTCTCCCTGTCACAAGAAGAGATAATTGGAGCCTGCCTGCTTCTAAGGTAGGGCTGTTGGGAGTACACAAATGTTTATGCTGTATGTGAGTCACTTGCAGAAGCAATGGGTAGTGTTTTCCTTGTCAAGGCTGAAGGCATGGGCTGCCCTGCAGCTCCAGCCTTAGGCATGCTTCCAGCATTTGAGCATTTAGAGTTGCTGAACTTTTGCAGTGGGGGGTGTGGGTAGCCTGCTGACCTTTACTGGGGAGCCCGATGTCTCATTGCAGGTAGGCGGGGCTCACATTGAATATGGCCACCACCTACTCATCCAGAGATTGCCCAGTGTGGCTTCCCTGCCTCCCTGCACCCTCCCACCTCCCTGGCCTGCAATCCCGGGGTAGGAAGACTGTGCAGTCAGTGCAGGGAGAGGTGGCAGCTGGAGCATTGTTAACTCCACGGCAGTTTTTCCAGAGGCTCATCTGGAATGTGGTTGAAAGGAGGCCAGGATTCAAGACTTCTGACATTGAAGGCCCACTTTGGTTATAAGCACCAGAAACTCAACTCACTGCTTTCAGTTAAAAAATAAGAGTTCATTGTTCTCATTAAAAAGAAAAGTTTAGGGAGTGTTTCAGTTAGGTCCATTGAGATTCAGGGGTCATGATTCCCATTTCTTATCTCTGTCTTCCCTCTTTCTTTTTTAAGATTTTACTTATTTTTTTTAAAGATTTTATTTATCTTTAGAGGAGAAGGGAAAGAGAGAGGGGGAGAAATATCGATGTATGGTTGCTTCTTGTGCATCCCCTCCTGGGAACTGGCCCACAACCCAGGCATGTGCCCTGACTGGGAATCAAACCTTAATCCTTTGGTTCACAGGCTCGTACTCAATCCACTGAGCTACACCAGCCAGGGCAAGATTTTACTTATTTTTAGACAGGGGAAGGGAAGGAGAAAGACAGGGAAAGGAACATAAATGTGTGGTTGCCTCCCATGTACAATCTGGCCTGGTACATCCCCAACTGGGGATCTGCCTACAACCCAGGCATGTGCCCTGACTGGGAATTGAACCAGTAACCCTTTGGTTTACAGGCCAGTTCTCAATCCACTGATCCACACCAGCCAGGGCACTGTCTTTCCTCTTGATTGGGCAAGGTGAACCCACCTTGCTCCCCACCATCCCAGAATCAGGGGAAAGGCAAATCTCCATTCCCAGGAAAGGCTCTGAGTGAATTGGATGGGTCACACCCCCATCCCAGGACTAATCAGTGGGGCTGGGAGGTTCTTGGTTGGTCAGGCTGAGTCACGAGTCTCCCATTTCAGTCCAGGGATGGGGTGTCCTGATCCCTACCACTGGGGCTAAGAGTGGATAATAGGAGATTCTTTGAAGAAAACAGGAGGTCCTTATCAGAAGAGGGGAGGGATGTTGGCACCCCCTAAAATGAAGAAATTCATGACAGACCCCTTCTGATGCCTAAATTTCTGCTGCTATTGGAAGGGCCTGGCTGAGCTGTCCGCATGGCTATCTGCCTGTGTCAGGCCTGGCACTGCTGGGCATGAATTCATGCCATACCATTTGGCAGAACCATCCCTTTCAGGGCCTCAATACCTGTCTTGCCAGGGGAGGCAGCTAGGCTGGGCCCTGAGACACTGGAATTTGGCAGCACTGGAATGTCACTGGGTTTCCGAACGGTGCTCTGGGGCTGCAAAGTCATGCACATACTTGCCTGATTTGTAGAGTGAAGCGGTTTTGCTCATTCAGGTGGCTCCATTTCCAAGCCCAGTGCAGTAAGGATAATGTGGGGGGATGGCCTGTTACTGGGATCAGCCTTGAGTCAGTGGGTGGGCCCGGGACAAGCAAAGCCTTGGCTTGAGACCTGCTCACTAGTCTGCCCCTGCTACTTGTGGCATGGGGGCCCCAGTTAGACTTTGAGGAGTGAGAGAGGCTGTGGGGCAACTTGGCTGGGCTGTAAGGGCAAGGGGGACTGTGGGGCAACCCGCTTTGAGAAGGCTTGGAGGTGAAGGCTTTGAGCAACATGAAAGAATTGGGGACTTGGGAGTCCCCAACACAGAGCTGTTGTATGGGGCTCTCAGGAGGTGCCAGCCCCAGGAACCAGCAGGTTGCATAGTACTTCCTGCTGGGCACTCCCCTACATCCCCTCTCTTTCATCACCCTGTCACTGCCCACCAGGCACAGACAGGCAGAAATGAAGGCTGTACATGTGAGTGATGGCTCCAGATGGTGATGCCATGAGGAAGACTGGGGGGATATGAGGTGCTTTGGCTCTTGAAGGAGGCAAGGCAAGTTGCAGGGAATGCACTAGGCTCTGCCCCCACCTGTCAGCCTGGCACACCTGCCCTCTCTGGACTCACAAAGATCCACTGATAGGGTGCACAGACTGGCATGGAGCTGGGCAGCCTATTGTAAATTTTGCGTATGTCTGAGAATAACCAGCATGATGACCAGGAGGGAGAAATAGGCAACTTAACTGCTGATGCTGTGGAGAGATTCCAGGCTTGGAGGACACAGAATCTGGGGCCCTGGCTGGGTTCTTCTGTCTCTCTCTCTGGATCTCTGTCCCCATCTCCCTGTCTCTATCCCCCTCTCTCTCTGAGTTTCCATCCCTCCCACTCCCCTGGTCTCTTGTCTCCTTCTCTCTGGGTCTCTGTCAGTGGATTGGTGTCTTGGCCTGTTGTGACAGTGTTGTGGGAACCTTCATCTGCTCCTGGGCTCCATGCTTGTCCACCCAGAAGCCCTGAGCTTTCCTCTGTTACTCCTGCAAGCCCAGGGATCAAGCCCTGACAGAGAACTGTAGGCCTCTCAGAAGGAGCTGCCCTTTGTCTGTAGAGATGGCCCCAGAATGGGCTTGCTGCCTCCTGGGGATGAAGGAGGCAGAGCCACCCTTGCACAGCAGTCCCAGGAGAGAGGCGCTGACGTGAGTGTACAGGCTGTAAGCCAGTGCAAGGTGCCAAATCATGGAGACTCTATCCTTGGGCTGCAAGCATAGTACTCGGAGCTGCGAAATATTGCAACCATGGCAACAGTGGCTGGGCTCTCTGCCTCTGTGGGGTGTGTGAGACCCCGGCTTTGGTGCACCTCTTACCCATGGATCTGTGCACCCAGGAGCCAGCCATGGCCTTGGCAAAGCCAGCAGGCTGCAGTGTAGTGAGCCAGATTAGGGGCCATGCTGGGCCCTGGTCTTCTGTTTTGAGGGGGACACTTGTCCCGTCCTCCTGGGCTGGTAGGGGATTCACGAGGTTGTCTATGAAGAACCACTTGTAGGGGCTGGTTAGTTAGTGGGCCTGCCTTGTGAAGGGTCAGAGGGGGTGCGAGGGGGAGGGCACAGAGTTTCTAATGTGGCTGGACAGAAGGTGGGGGAGGGAGGTGTGTGAAATAGGTGGAGAGGTGGTCCCGCAGGCTGCCAGAGTTTCATCAGAGCTCTGGAGCCTGATCTCCCCTTTCTGAGTCTCTGTCCCCTCTTTTTCTCTGGGTCTCTGTTCCACTTTCTCTGTGGGTCTCCCCCCACCCCTCACCCAAGTCTCTGTCCCTCTCTCTGGATCTCTGTCTCTCTTTCTCTCTGGGTCTCTCTCCCCCTGTCTCTGTCCCCCTCTTTGGGTTTCTGCCCCCTGAAGCATAGCATCTTCCCTACTGATGCCCTTGGGACCTTGGGTGGAGTGGCTGAACTCCCTGGTACAACGTCAGCTGGGGTACGAGCCAACCAGCTGCGCTGTGCTGCTGTGCTCCTTGGAGCCACATGGACAATAAAACCAAAATTGGCTTTGGAAGTGGAAGTACTCTCCGTTTTGAGGGGAAGTGAGGGAATTTGCATGTCAGAACAGTATGTTAAAGGGGCAATACCGGCAGACTCTGTTCTGGCCTGAGCTTTGGGCTCCATGTGGGGGTGGGAAAGGATTTTACAAAACCCCAAAGAAATGTTTCCATGAAATTCTTGTTCTTGCCTTTTCCTTTTTTTTTTTGACATTCCAATGAAAAGAATTGTTCCGGGGCTTTGGAGATCTCCTGTAGGGTTGGGAAACTGACCATGGAGACCAGGGCCAGCAGTGGGTGAGGGCAGGAGGAGGGGAGTCTTCACCTCCACCATGGGGCTCTTTCGGCCCTGCGGCTCTGCACTTCCTGTGGTCTCTCCCCATTATGCAGTCCTGCCTCAGGCTGGGTCTCAGCACAGTGGAACCAGAGGCAAAGCCTCCAGTCTGTGATATATTGGGGGGGGGGGTGACCCTATGAAGGACTGGATGAAAGGAGCCCATGTAGGGGCACCAGCAAGGAGCAATGGGCTCAGTGACTAGGGTCCCCTGGAAGATTGTGGGAATCCTGCCACTGGTGGTCTCTCTGGGGGCATTTACTTTGCCCAGTCCCATCAGCCCCTGTGCAAGGGAAACCTCGAGGGAGTCAGGGGCTGTGTTCCCATGTCTAGCATGGGCCTGGGCCTGGCCAGAGGTTCCCAATGACAGTGCTAGGGGGCACACTGTGGGGGTAGGGGATCATGACGGTCCTGAGCCCGGACCATATCTGTGGGGGCACATG